AATTTAAAGCAAGATAAAATCTGTTACTAATCTGTATACTATTATAAATGTTTAACCAAGCCATCAAGGATGTGTGAACCTAGATATTTAATATGCTTGATGTGTTTTGTAAAACAAGGGACTTTCCTTTTGGCAGAAAATGGAACAACATCTTTCAGCTTTTTGATTCTTACACAATGTATTTCTAGATACTGTAGGTACTGTGGATTTAGGACATTTTGGAAATGGAGTAGGTGAAGCCATACCTTGAAGCTTTACATATTCTCACCAAGCCTTTTAAGTTTCTAGAGTGTTCAGGTGGTATGACCAGCATGCTTCTGACAGTCTGTAATTGTATCAAATTGTCAACAGTTCCTTAGAAATGAATAAGAAAAGAGAGAGGCTTTAGTAGGGTCAATGAGTAATGTCATGTAACTGATTTACAATAGACATTGGTTGCAAAAATAACTTGGGATTGTCAGGAATTGTATCACAGTATGTCAGAAAAGCATTCGACTGTGACTTAGTTTCGTAGTTCCTGTTTATTGTATTCAGTCTTGCATACTGAAGCTACTCTGTGATGTGCAGTTTTCAAAGAAATATGAAGGGATGCATTTCTGCTTTCAAGGTACTCGTCCTAAATGGGAACCCCATGAGTGATGTTCAGTAGTTATTTAATAGTGTATTTTCCGAACACTTTGCCTTCTATGAAAAATGCTTCTTGTTGTTGCTTATGGCACTGTAGTTGTGACTGAAACAGATATCCATCACTGGGCCACCACAGAACATAGAGAACATTTTCATGTACATAATGAATCCCCTACACTTTGCTAAAGCACCTCATACCTGTTGAGAGGCCATCTCTCCCAGTGAGATGGTGAAGCTTGGATTGCTCATCAGTCCTTCACTGGGCAACTCATGACAACCGTGATGCAGAGCTCTGATTAACATGGTCTGGGATTCTGGGGACAAGACCCTTCTGTGCCATTCTGTGAGTGTATCAAAGTAGCATGACTGTTCTGTATTAATACTGAAGAACATAAAGACTGTTCTTTAACGAAAACATTTTTTTAATATACTTAAGTATTATTATATGCAGGTGTGGCTTGTTTTTTTTTTCTAGTTCATTTTCTAGTCTAGATTGAAATAAACACAACGGAATAGCCAGTGAAATGCACTGCATGTGTTTTTTATATATATATATAAAAGTGTGTAGAATCTTTTGATTATGTTTTGATTTTGGTTAATATCTTTCTATTAAATCTGTGCTTCAAAATAATTAATCTTATTGGGGTTGTAATATCATGTAGCACTCATTCCAGCTATTTATGAACATTTAGAACATGTTGTCAAAATAACTGCTGCAATTATTGCTATTGGTCCTTGAATTTGCTTTTGCTCATCCCCGGAAAACTGTAAGAATGTGTAGTAAGTATCACTTTGCTGTACAACACAGTTATAGTTGTGGATTACAGGATTTAAAATCTATGCTTACCATGCTTCAATCACACCAGATTCTGCAGACAGCAACTCATCTCTAATTTTCTGAATCGGATTAAGTCAGCCTAGAAGGAAGCAGGAAATGTCTTTGCTTAGACCAAATTCTCCTGCCTTAAATCCTGACTGAAAAATGGGTGTTGATATGACCATTAATACTTTTTCAGACCATACAATACATCGATTGACATGCTATGTCTATATTAAACTGAAAATGCTCAAACAATGTGTTTTCAAACATGAGACCTAAGTTTTGATTGCGAGAAAAACAGGAGTAACAACCAATATTTTGTTATCAATGATCATGTACAACTTGTGTTCCTGTGTGGTCAATATGATACATACACACTGCAGCGAGCTTCGATCTTTCTTTTTTTTTAACATTAATTTGCATTTTTCTAATGCATCTTTTAAAATGTCCAAAACTGATGCAATGTTTAATCTTGAATACGTCTGCAAATAGGGTTGGTATGGAGGCCCAACGGTTAGTGTGGGGCCCTGGGTCAGTTCCTCGGGTGCTCTCCCTGTGTTCACATGGGCTTCCTCCCACATTCCGAATCCCTGGCGTGAGTGTGTGCCTGGGGTCCCATCCAGGATGTGCCCCTGAATTGGAAAAGTAGGGATTGAAAATGATGTGATGTCTGCAAACACAGTGGTCCTTGCGTTTCATTTTTCATAGGCTTCATGTTAAAAAAAAAAAGTTTTTCAGATGTCATTAGTTCACAAAATCGGGTGACAGTCAGGCACACCAAAGGAAATGAGTCTGCAGAGCTGAGCCACTTAGCAGAATAGGGAAGTGGGGAAACATGAATTACTACTACAAAGTCTTTCGGTGATTGAAGGGGTAAAGATCAGGATTTACAGAAAACCTGGTTAGCAAGGTTCACTCTTTCTCACATTGTGCTTCACAGTGATAAGGAGACGTTGACTCAGCTGTGGTGTAGATTTATAGTTCCAAGGATTAAGAGTGCAAAAGGGCAGTGAGTTATGTTGTACAGTAACAAAACAATCTATTGTGCAAGCAGAAGTAAAGCCTTTTTTAGGAACATTCTTAGGAGAGTTCCTTCTTTTATTATTTATTTTCTGATTTGGTATTTTTTAAATTGTGTTCTGTGTAGAAAGCTTTCAGTTGGGATTCTGCAGTCTGACATAGAATTGCTGAAATGTGTCTTTGATTTTTATTAATAATCTGTCTTTGCACTCTGCATCTTAAAATGTTAGTACATTGGTTCTTTTTACAAGTTTCACTTTTTGTGATATCCTGAATTATGTCTTCTTTCCAGTTGTCCTTTCTGAGATTTACTGCTGTGTTCTCAGTCTTGATTTGGATTTAAAGCCTTGTGGGGTTTTCGATTCTTACATTGCATGCTCTAAGCTGTGCCTGTTAAAGCCCTAAGTGTGAAGAGATATAACAGAGGGATGTAATTTGAGAGACTGTCGAATTCACAAGGCAGTCTTTTCATAACCTTTGTAGACTGCCTCATTCCATAGCTGGGTCTGAAGTGTGAAATCCTCCTCTGCTGTTGGGAATGGTCCAGCAGAATGGAGGAGCTTTTTTTCTGGAGAAACAGAATGCATGCAAGAAGCAGACACTTTGGCAGGCTGCTGAGCACACATTGTCAGAACATGGTGCAACATGTGCCAGCTCCTTCTGGATCTGATACCTTCTGGAGTGTGCTTTTTTTTTACAGTGTTTTGCGTTTCCAACATTCCGTTTAAATTATTCCGTTTTGCAAAATTGTTTCTTGATTTGAACTACATCTATGCCTTTTCTGCATTTAGCTTCTGCGTGTTGTCTACCTTCTGCTACTTAGTGCCACAGCTTGAACGTGTACTGTTGTTCATGAGACTGATAATGTAATGGTGGCAATATGTCGGGGCTAATACACTTGCAATGATCACTTAAATTCTAGATCAGTTCCTTAAAGGAATGTGCCTGAAAAACATCTGGTTATGTATACTCATGCATTTTATTTTGGAATATTTGTTTTAAAAACCTCTTACACCAAATGCATGGGTTATGTTGTCTACCCATGTACAAAAGAATGGCTATTACAACAGCCGTTGATTTTAGATGAACTATGAACTACATTGAAATCCAATATTCACACAAGTTTGCTTTTTAAAAAAAATATTCTGCATGAGAAATACTACAAGAAAACTGTTGGAGTAAGCCCTGCATCACGAAAGAGGTGCCCAAAATATTAGTTTTTAAACCGTTTCCCCATGTAAAATATTTCTTTTAAAAATTCAGTTGATTATCTTGTGGGAATAACTTTCGCAGGGTGTTTGCCATATGGTAATGGCTTTTGTCAACCATAAAACCAGCCTTTAGGATGTAGAGCTATATACTGTACAGTATAATGTGAATATATGAATCGGCCAGCGTTTGAAATGTATCCTCTCTGCTATAATGCTTAAGTGGGATTCAACAGACTTCTTTTGTACAACTTCACTTTGGCCATAGTTTCTTTACTCCTACCACCTTCACAATAAGCTCATTGTGCTGTGTAATAGCCGAGTCACCTATTTGCAAAAACATCGTCATCTAGATGCTTTGTTCTAACGGGAAGGAACATTTAAGAGTCACTTAGTTTAAGGTGGTTCCTGTTTTCACGGTTTGGTTCTGGTCTTTTCTTTGGTGTGGGAGTTAACAAAAAGGATTTCACAAATTGCAGTGTGGAGTGACCTTTTTTTGTTTTGCTCTGTGGTCCTGATTCTCACAGAGAGGTTTCAAAGGTACCTTTGAGGAATGTTTGTATTTATACAATACTCTCCCTCTTTCGCCAGGCTGCATTTGTGTTTTGCATTTCTCCATTCTGTTTGTGCCCCAGATGTGCACCCCAGCAGACATGCGCTGGGAGATGGTGGAGCTGGGCAGTGTGCATTGTGGAGAGCGTACAGTAACATCCGTAACTCTGTACAAACCCTCAGCAGTGATGGCGCTGTCAAAGGGAATGAACAAATAAATACCCAGGAAGTCCAAAATGAAATAGAAAAAGACTACAGGGACAGAATTAAAAAATATTTTTTTTCATATTTATTTTTTTCATCAGAGGAGATCTCTCCTTTATACATCATGACCAGTTAGGCAGTTATTCACTACATTGTGCTTTCAAAACAGAAGAAAATACAGACATGGACTGCAGTTAAAACATTCTCAGTGTTAAATCTGAAAAAGTATAGTGATTTTTAAAAATGTACACTGTAAATGATGAAGATTCACACTGACAAAACTATAAGCTTTGATTTTCAGCGGTAACTCAATGGACACCTGAGGAAAGACAGATGTCAGTTTATCTTTTAACAAACAAATTGTGCTATGGCTATGTTTTGTGTCTTCCAGGCTATTTCTATGAGCTGCTTATGACAATTGGGGAAAAAATGGGTTTTCTATTTTTAAACTGCCTATTGCAATTTACCAGCATGGGTGTCTGAGAAACGACTTCCCTTTTGATAATTCTCTGATACTAGTGTGTTGGCGAAAAAAACCCTAAATGTTTCTCTTTGTGCCTTCTTTTCAGACTGTGCGGGGATTACAATAGGACCCAACATGACGGTGTTTCTGAAAAAGGCTCTGTTTGTTTAAGAACCTCCAGTCGGCTGTGATGAACATGCCACTGCATCAAATCTCTGTCATTCCACGGGATGTGAATTCATCAAGAGGCTCAAGTGGGAAATCAAAGGAGAAGGACCGGGAAAAACAGGTAGGACTCAGAGCTCTGCTTGGGTAAATTCCATCGACGGCAAATAGCAGTTCCATGCTCTTTGACCTGTTGACTGAAAATGGCAGATTTTGTATGACACGTGTTTTTTCCCTGCAGTCCTTGGAGATTATAAATGGCCTGCAGGGGGATCAATTCTAAACAAACGAAGCTATCCATTTACTAGTACTAGATTTTTTTAAAATTGGTTTTCCCACAAGAAACACTTAAATTAATAACGCTCATGGTTTTGCAGTTTCTTATGCATTGTGTGGCTGTGGGCACACTGTGTCCCGTGAGACACAAATATGGTTTTAGGTTGCCCACCACTAACTTATGCATTCTGAGTGCATATCTGTTGTGCTTGAGAGCAGATTTCAATTTGATGCTCTGCCTCTATAGAAGAATTTATTTTTGAAGGGTAGCAGGCAGGAAGAAGTCAATATGTTAAAGCAAGGGGCTTTACACTTGAGGTTCTGTGGGAAAGGCTGTGAGGACGGTGTTATTTTTACTTGTTGGTTTCTTAAAGAGACATTGTTTATTGTCATAATACAGGACAAAACTCTTTGAAAATGCAGACAATAAACAAAAACCATTTTGAAGTATGTTGTAATTATGAGAATCAAAAACTTAATTTCCTTAGTTTTTTTCTTGTGGCCCAACAGCTGAAAGCGTAAGCCTTACATATTTATAATGGTCTGTGTGTGTGACACTCTTCTATCATAACTGTCCTTACAAACACTTTAAATTTTTAAAATCTTGCAATATTTCTAGTCTTCCTGAAAGATAAAAAAAGATGTGTGTTCTCAGTGTTGCTCTATAGTTCAAACTCTTCTCAGTTGAGCCTGTTCCATAAGTTATTATTGCTCTAGCCATCAAGTCAAATGGAAACAAATAGTTATTGTAATATCTCTGTTGGATTTATAACATTAGATGTATAAAAGTATTAAAAGATACTGAAAATGACCAAATTTCCACAGCTTGGGAGAGTATGATGAGGGATTTAAACTGGCAGGCTTATCTGTGTACCTGACAGTTGTTGGTGAAACAGTTTATGAAAATGTATTTTAGAGTCAAGGCTGAGGTTATTATAACACATTGTGGGACAACTAATCTCGCGTTCAGAGTTAAGCTATAAATTAGTGCTAGTGCTGCCTCTCTCCACAAATGAAGTAAGTGCTAGCAGACCACACATGTTGGGAATGAAGTAGTTTCATTCAGTCATCTTCCTACATACAGTATGTGCAGTTAATATGTTTAACTCCAGTACTGTAGACCTTTTTTAATAAGAGAGAAAAGTGAGCCGTAAAATAAAATGTGAAATTTAAAAACTGAAAAAATAGGAAGAAATGGTAAGGAAACCTAACTTGTCAGTTTAGTTAATCTTGTGTAGCATATTTCGTGTAGGTTCAAAAAACATGTTGAGGCAAAATGTATAAAGTAAACAAACATCAAAAGAAAAAATGGTTGTCTAGTCATTGGAACTGTGTATTATTGTGCAGGTTGAGAAATGTAATATTATAGATGCACTTAAGCAGTAAGGAATCTTTGGAAGTTCTGGTTTTACATATGAAGATATAAGGTCGGAAAATTCTCCTCTGAAGCCTCCTTCACCTTGAAGTCCGGATCCAAGGGCCAAAGCAGTAGAGAATGCTTTCTAATTGATAGCCGTGAAAACCCCAGATCCAGTGACGCACAAGCTCCCAACACACCAGCGAGCCCAGTCTGTCTAAGAGGGATGATGCACGCCTTTTATGTACAAAGTTTTAAATGAAGCATTCGTACATTAGGATATTTTGAAATGGCATTTATATTATCACATCAGATTTCTTCCTCTGCAAATCTCTGCAGTTTAAGATTGAAGCATCCAGTAGAAAAACATCAAAGGAGTTCTGGCCCAGCAGGTACACTGTTGGCACATTCTGCAGAATGAAGGTGCAAGTAAAAAAGAGAAAGAAGACCCTGGTTACTTGTACTGAGATTATTAGTCCTGAACCGTGCAAATAAAAATATCTGTTAGAAATATTATTTAAAAAATAGTCAGAACAGGGATCCTTGTATCACTCTGAAGTGAAGGGGGGAAATGATAATTGTCTGTAAGGAGTCTGGGATTACAGAAAAATACCACGTTTTCTGGGTCTTCTGATAGACCCCAAATTATAATTATAGAGCAAAGTTGCAGTCTACAGTGTCTGAGGGAAACACAAGCATAAATGAAATCTTACAGGCTGCATGTAAAGAACTGACTATTTCAGTGGAAACTGAGGTACAGAAACATCAGGATTTAGGCAGATGAACAATTGAAACACAGAGAAGAACCAATATCAGACAATATTACATAATTAAGGTTTTGGTCAGAGATGAATGGTTTTTCACCTAATGTCTTGAGCAACAACAGCAGTGTAGTCTGGATGTAGGACTTCTACTACAAACAATTTTTTCCTGGTTTTGAAAGATTCAGTCTTTTTGTTTTATAACTCTGGCGCTACTGTATTTTTTCATGTTTCCCTTCCATACAAAACTATTTCACTTTCCACACTGGAAGAGCTGTAAACAAAATTGTTTATTACAATTTAAATAGTATTGTGTAAAAATTAGTAGGAAATTCAAAAGTACTGGAACAATCTCTGGGAGTTACTGTACTGCTCCCTCTTAAAGCACAAATTACAATAAATATACTGCACTGCTTCAGTAAGTAGAGAATAATTTCTCTAAATCTATTTTAGCAATAAAAAGCAGTGGTCTAGTTCTATGCACTCAGTTTACTTGATGTTTCCTCATATTTTTAAATTTTTCTATTTCCCATTAATTTCAAAGTGGTTTTCCCAATTACAACTTTGTTGTGCAACAAGCATATTGAATTGTTTTGATTTGTCAGTATTTTGGAGTAAGTATGTCACAGCGACTATGTTTTTGTGCACATACTTCTGAGTGATTCTTATATAACCAAATGACAAAAACAAAAGATGTGCTAAGGCAATCTGTGGTCAAGTCCTTGCTTTTCATTGAATGACAATACCCTTTGTGCTCAAAGCGCTCAAGTAGATAATCCCAGCTGTTTTAAAGAGGTCTTGTTGCATATGGCAAATGGTATGTTTTAAGTCACTGACTTCATTTTGTTTTGAGGCAGTATTTTATTGTAACCTAGCATATTTCCATAAATGGTACTGCACCGTGGGTCTTGAGAGGAAATTTAGGAAAACGGAGGAAAGATTGATATATGCGTGCAGGGTCACCAACACACAATTGGTTGACCCTTAAAGTACAAACATTTTTAAGACCCTTATATCATAGGTATAACCTCCTATTCCTGTAGAGAAGTCTCCAGAATGTTTGGAGCTTCATTTAGTGTAGAGAATACAGATCTAATTAATGTTTGGGGGAGGACTTTGGCTGTTCAAGCCTATCTATTGAATGGCATAATATCAGTGGGGAAGTAAGTCATACAGGTATCCGCAGTTGAATCTTAGTCTGCAGTTCCCCTCCTAGAATCACAGTTTTTAAAGAGAAATAATTTGAATCCACTTCTGTTCAGTACTTTCAGCCAGAGTCGTGGCTGAGCACCTGGCGACTTCAGATTGTATAGAACAAATTAGATATTAAGTTTTAATAAAGACTTCACAGGGTAGTGCAGACACTTTTATACAGTTTTAACATACTTTAAATTTTAAGCCTTCCTAGACTTTGAAGAATGAGTGCCTAAAATGTCACTAGAGGAAAAGAAAAATTCCTGTATGCATGGACTATGTTCAGTCTCATTTTATGTTATTCCTCTTCTCAGGAAAGATCTGATCAGCTTGTGATCAAGAGCAAAAACCTTTCAACACCTCAATAACTTTGTCAGATATATTCCTATATAACCATAAGATATTAATGATTTTTTTTTCTATTCTAAACTGATATGCTGGATTTATAAAATACCCAGATGCAAGAATGATGAAGTAATGCCTTTTCTGAATTTTCCCATCACATCTGCAGCATTTAGCATTCCTTCAACTATTTTCATGAGGAAAATATTCCTTTGAATATACTAGGTTAGGGTTTTCCGTTTAGGTTTGTCTGATGGAAGCTTAACGGACAAATAAAATACACTGTGATAGAGGAATTTATTTTTACAAGCAAAAGAGACTAAATGCAGTAATTCCAAAACAGTCTTGGCATGACTCAGCTGGTTGTTGACTCACTCGTCTCTTGTTTAGGGTTATGTAAAATGAAAAAAATGGTTAAACCATTTACCTTGCGGTTCGGCTATTCACTTTCAGGAGAAACATTAATACAATTTGAAAAAAAAAAAGTAAAGGGCAATCTCCCTGTGTGAATTTTATTTTATTTTTTTTAATCAAATGCTTTTTGATGTGTTAACCATTCAAAATGTTTTTTTTTATTCTAGCCTGCAATGAAGAGTACAGTAAGTAAAATTGATTATGTGGTTTTACCTCTGTGAAAATAAGGGGCTGTAGTAACAGTACTGTAGAAAATTCCTGTTACATTAGGAAGCCGTAAAATAGACGGATGTAGGTTTGTAGTCTACATTCTAAAGTGTACATGTCTAAAAACCTTCTTGTCAATTCTTGGTGTTTTTCAGATAATATTCACCTTGTTACAAATGAAACAAGTGATATTTAGTAAGATTAATTTATGTTTTAATGTTTCTTTGATCTTGATTTCAAGAGTATAAGTTCATTGATGTTCTATTGTGAAAAGTATACAAAATACTGCTTCTTCAACAAAAAGCACTGGTAAAAATTAAATAAGTATATACTATAATATAGTATATTACTATAATAGAACAGCAGGATTCTGTAACAGAAATCTGCAGAACAGTTTCACAGAGTCTACATTTTCCAAAAGGTACTGCAGTTTTCACTTATTCACTTATAAAGGCAACCATTTAAAAAAATAACCCTTGGTCAGAAAGCAGTGATACAAGTGGATGAACAGAATAAAATATTTAAATTCTAAATGGGAGTGTAAATCTCTAAGATATAAATGGTTTACTTAGTCTGTACTGAACAGGATGGAGTATTGGACCCAGTGAAGCTCAGACCCAGCTCCTTTTTACTATGAGAGTGAGATCCAGGGCTGTATAGTTGAAGATACATCAAAAGCACTCTACTGTAATTGATGTCTCAAGGCACAGTATCTTTATAACTTTAAAAGATAACTTATGATTAAAGGTTATGAGGCTGTCTTGTTTTGCTAATATGATACACAGTATTATTTTTCCACAAGTGGAGGAAGGTTAATTAGATGTTCTCATTTTCTGTGCAAATCGTTTTGACATTGTGACCTGAAACAGTCACATGACACTTCCACATGTAGGACTTTATTTTCACATTGAACCAATAAATAAGAGGATTTAATCTAGAAGACCACTGCGAGGCCCTGTGACCTTGCTTTCAAGGGTGTGTTATTAACCAAAGGAAAATAAAGATCAACTGAACATGCAGAGTACAGCAAAACAACAATATGAATAATTTACCCCTCAGTATGGATATATATATATAGTATCTATCCAATATTGGATGATGAGCTGTGTTGTCTTTGCACCAAACATCTCTTTTAGAATTAAGGCCAAAAAATTCAGCCTTTGTCTCATCAGACCATAAATAATTTTCCCACATGGTTTAGGGTCATTGTATTTTTTTTTGTGTGCAAAATTTAGATGGGTTTGGATGTTCTTTTTTTTGTGAGAAATGGCTTCCGTCTTGCCACCCTACCCCATAGCCCAGACGTGCAGAATACGGGAGATTGTTGTCACATGCAAGGAGTGACCAATACCTGCTAGAAATTCATGCAGCTCCTTAAATGTTGCTGTAGGCCTCTTGGTAGCCACCCTGAAAAATCCCTGTGGTGCCACAATTTCTCCACTTATTGATGATAGTCTTCACAGTGCATCATCGTACATTCAATCCCTTTGATATTCTTTTATACCCCTCTCCTGATGGGTACCTTTCAACAATAAGATCCTATAGATGTCTTGTCAGCCTCTTGTGGACCATGGCTATCCTAGTAGGATGCAACCACAAACGTTTCAAGGAAATCCTACAGGAACAGCTGATTTTTATGGGGGGTTAATCAGAATCACTTTCATTGATGGCAGGTGTATGCTGCTTAACTTTAGACATGATTTTGAATGTGATTAGTTAACTCTGAGCACAACTACAGCCCCCATTATAAAAGGGTGTGCAGACTTATGGAGCCAGGGTTTTGTAGGTTTTTTAGGGTTTTAATTATTTTCCCCAAAAATTATCTGTTTGTTTTTCTCCTGAATTTTATTGGTTGCAAGGTCACATTAAAGGTGGAAAAATGTCTGACATGGTTTATCTTGATTTCTGGCTTTACATCACAAAAACCTGCAATTTCAATAAGGGGTGTAGACTTTTTATATCCACTGTACATTTTAAATTTCATTTCACATGAAGGATTAATTCTGCAAAAATAGAACCTACAGGATCATATATTTTTTTTCCTCTTTGATAATGTCATGGGGCTATATAATGGTTTGGTTCTTTGTGATATCTCGATGTCAGAATGACCTCTACATTTAACAGAGGTACCTGCTGCTTTGAAACACAGAATCTTGGCGTTATTTCCCACTGGTAAGGCGCACACTCTTTGAACTGTGAAACACCAGTCTCCATTGGTGAATAAACATATCAGGAAGACTGTGTATGTCCCGACAGCATCAGTTTAGCATCAAGCTTACTAAATAAAAAAAACCCAACTGATTTATGTCTCACAGGGCACATTTATGTTCAAAACCTTTGAGATCAAAGAAGGTTGAGAGGATACCATGGGAGTCCATTTTTCCTTGAATAGATTCAGTATTTAGTCTTTGTTCCATTTGCTCCTAGCAGAGCTCCTGCCTGTTGTGACTTAGACGCTACAAGAACACTTCTTTCTCTCTGAGTAGTGTTCCTCATAGCTCAAGCCAACGTACAGTATGTGGTTTAGGCTCTGGATGATGCATAGGACCAGTGCATCCCAGAGATGCACTACTGGGTTCATCCCAGTGCATTTTGTGCTGTGCCTGGGAAGTCTGAAAGATGCAGCTACATTGATGGGGCCATGGACCGTCGATGCATAAAGGCAAGGGCATATCTTTGAACAAACTAAGGTGCAATGTGTGAGGTATAACTTTGCGTATTAACTATCAATAAACCCTATGCATGATATTTCATACTCTATTACAATCCATACCATCATACCTCCACCTTTGAATTGGGGCACTTGTGCAGTGCAACATGGATACTACCTCTCGCCGTGTCTCTGCACACCATCGTGCCAGATGGGTCTGTGACTCCTGCTGAACACTCCTGCGCCAGTTTCCATGTGGTCAGTTTCTGTAGGAATGCCGATGTGCCCTGGATAAGATATTGCCTTATGCTGGTTATTCAGGACCACGCCAGCATGTAGGTGGGCTCTGATGCCTCCATCCTCTAAATGCCGTCTACTGTTCGGGAGCTGATCTGGCCAGGTGTTACTGCGTCAGTTTTGGATAGGGGGCTTCCCACAGGTTTCCTTTGTTTTAAGAAATATTAAGTGCTGAAAAGAGTAGTGTTAATTTGCCCTTTTATGTGGGGGGTTGTAAACTGACAATCTGACAAAAGAAAGAACATGCACACTGATGCTTTTCAGAACAAAAAATGCACCCAAGCAGTTCTTATTATTTTTGTCAGCTTTTTTTCTGCATTTTACCACATAGATCTTATTACTTGTGTTAGTCTGGTTTTACCCAGAGTGCCAACAGTTTTGGGGAATTGTTTGGGTTTGTAGCTGCCGTTGAGTAGAAATGTAATACTAGAGAAAACTTTTACAATTAATAATATTAGTGATTAATTTCTGAACTCCGAAGACAATACTAGCCAGGTCGAGCCTTGTCACTTTTAATGGGAGTAGTTTTGACATTGAGAATCCTCCCAATATCTCTTTAACTTATGACGTACCTTCTATGAGAAGCACCTGAAACTCTGCCCAACAAGAGAAAGCAAAAATAACTTGTTTAATCAAATGGTATTAATTCTTGATAAAAAGCAAAGGCCAAAAAAAAATCTCTGGCTCTCATTCTGTGCAGTCTGGTCTTGGAAGTCACACACTAAGCCACCATCATAAAACCACATGTTCTGACCAGAACATTAAGTTACAGTGTGTGCCGAATGTTTGTAAACCAAGTTGTGGCTTAAATCTTTTTCAGAATGTCCACTGGCAGAACGTAAAGTTGCAAGATTATGTGCTGTGGATTTAGCAAAAACAGGAGTAGGTCAACAATTTTTATAACAGCTTTGTTTTGCTTTATTGACTGTGAGCTTTTCTTTATTTCAGTGATGCATTCCAACTCACCTGCGTAAACCTGTCAACATTTTCTCAGTTGATGCATGTGGCCAAGCAAAGATTTTTCAGTGATCTGTATGAGAAACTGCGAGCACAAGCAATGTGTGCACAAATATTTTTTTATACTACACTACTGTTTTAATGATGAATTGAAGAGGGTAAAAGTTGTATTTTTTAGTTTACTGTTTTCTTATAGTTTTCACTACATGAGTTTTCACTACTAGTCACTAAACACATGATACTTTACAGCCATGTAATGCCTTCAATAGAAGACTCAAATCATACAGATATGCAAGAAATCACAACTTAAAAAATGCTTAAGAAACACCCTGCTTTTTTTCTAATCTTGGATCTTGGCTTTGCCAGGGTTCGTGTCTCAATGACAAATGTGAGATAAACAGGAAACAGCTGTTAAACAGGAGCATGTGACTTCCAAAATATTTAAATTAGTTCTTTAGCTCTCACACATAGAAATGCTGTATGCATGAGCTGGCTAAAGCTCTTGATACTATTTAAGACAAATGCTTGAAACAATCATACAGAAAAGCCTGGTTAAGGAGGAGGAGGTTTAAGAAAATGTAGTCTTTCTGATGGCCTTTGTAAGTGTTAATCACATCTACAGTACTTTTTGACAAAATATGATTCTGAACGCTCAGTTCAACAACCAGTTAAAGAATAAAAACTTAAGCCTTGTATTTGTAATCTGACAGTGGTGGGAGAGTCACCAAACATTGTTTCTCTTATTAGACACAGCTGCCCCACATTAACTTTACCTTGCTGGAAACAACTGTGGTGATCTGTTGTTGCAGTTAAAATTAATGTCCCTGTGACATCTGCCTGAAGTGCCTAAGAATTAAATGAGCATTACAACATTTTGTATGTTCTATTTAAAAGAAACACCTCAGTCCTAAAAATTAATATCATGCTTGTTAATAGTAGGCTGAACTTGTAATTGCCTTACTTTAAAAAAAAAACAATGATTTTGATTTCTGACTCATTTCACAGTTGCATTTCAAGTGCATTTGCCGAGTATAAAAAATCATAGCAGGTCTCCAGGGTGTTCCCTATCCGTAT